TGGGTGAGGTGCACACAACAACAGTTTTTCACTTTACAGCCGCAGCCGTCCCATTGTAGCAACGGGTGTTACCACAGGTCTTCCATCACATTACTAACCAGGCCCTGCCCTACACAGCTTCAGAGGTTTGGCTTTTGCATGCAAGTATGATCCCATAATCTAACTGATTAGTCCACTTCCTGTCCCTGTAAAGATGGCCTCCTTTTTTATTATTCTCTGAACTCCATTGATGAAGTCGCGTGTGTCCAGGCCGTGCTCTTTAACCAATACCAACCATTGATTTATTATTCATGGCGTTTCCGTGGGAAGCCTTCATCTCCGCTATTGACAAACAGGTATAGCGAGATAACAACCCCACACCTGTGCGTGGGAAATGCCAAGGATTTCATAATTCCTCTGACAAACGAAAGCCCCATGGTCCAGTAAATGCCACGCTCTGTAATCAGCGAACTCACACGCAAGAGAGAAACCACGGCTTATGTTGGAGTAATTGTGTGGCCATGACGGCGGGTAAGGAGCAGAGACAGGGCTGTCCTCATTCTCTCATTCAGCTCTTACATGCGCTGCCCCAGCTCATAACCAGACAAAGTACGAATGCAGTCTAAATGTGGAATCTCTTATATCTCCAGTGTGAACTACAGGTGAAACGGGATCAGGAAATTATAATGTTAGAGAATTATTTGCATTTTTCGTCATTTCAGGACGGACATGTCACTCTCAGGCTCGTGGGCCAAATCTGTCCAACAAGACAGATCCTACTGATCACTAAAGGGATTTTCATATTTGAGGCAATGCAATTCAACATAAATAATACAAATAACCAATTTTGGTTAAATCCAAACAATTAACACATTTTGTTTTCGGAAAAATCCACCTGAAATTAATAGTGAAACTCGTGTTAAATAAAAGTCAAGATACCTTCAATACTTTCAGCCTCGTACCAGTTCCTATTTTTTTCATTCAGCCCCTGACCAAAATAAGTTTGACAACCCTGTTTTTAAGATCACCAGTCATACTGACAGTAATGGGAAGAAACTCTAAAGAGATAAAATATAACTGCCACCATGTGAAATGTGTGAAAAGCGGTTATGCTAATAAATGCGTAACCTAAAAGCACACACTGAAATGTACCCACAAAGACAAATACGTTCAGTTTAGTTTCATGTATTTCCCAGGGGACGATGCAATTTAATAAAACACATGATTGTGTGTTTGAAAAGTGTGTTGAAAAGCTAGAATTAGCTTAGTCCCCTGGAAATGATGTTAAAGTTCAAATACATACAATCATATTAATGCATTCATCAACATCAGTAAACATAGATCATACAAACAATAACAACGTAATTTTATACAACATTGATTTATAAAAGTTGAATTTGCATTATAGAAAGCCACAGTATGTAAATAAAGAGCACATTTTTATACATTATGTATTATTCTGTCCCTTTAACTTGGAGATTTACTTTTATATTGTCCATCCATCCATCCATCCATTTTCTTCCCTTTAATCCATTTCTGGGTCAGGGGGGTGGCAGTCAGAGATGCCACCCAAGTCTCATAGCACCAGCCCCTCACTGACCCTCTGCAGGTGGTGAGTCCACAGGAGTCCACTTTTATATTGTATGTTTTTAGAAATGTAAATGATATATAATGATAGGTAAATCATAGAATCATACAAAATATATAATGATATATATCCTAGCAAAAGCATGAAGGATAAACCTTTCGAAAGCCTTCTCTTTGTGAAAGAGGGACATGTTGTATTAAACCCAGCACAAAATAGTTTGTAGGATTTTTTTTATTTATTTTTTAAAGAAAAATATATATAAAAACATTTATTAAACAAGTTTGAATTTCCACAAACTTGACTCAAACCAGACTATTTGTCCTGGAGGAGGCTGTCCTTCTGTTTGTTCTATATTGGCTACATATTTCTTTCAACAAAAAGGTCCCAAATTTCCCCTCCTCTATGGTTTCTTGCTGGGACTCTGAGGAGCACAAGGACTCTGAGGAGCACGGGGACTGGTCAACTTCTGCGACTCTGAGGAGCACAGGGACAAGCCTCATGCAGGGACTCTGAGGACCACAGGGACTGGCCTCCTGCAGGGACAATTATAAGCAAGTTTGAATTCTAGTCCCATAGTATAGTTTTAACTTTGAGTCGTACAGATGCTCCTCCACCTCCAGAATTGTTCATGTCTCAGCAGATGTCTGTATTTGCTGGAGTTTGGAGATCAATTACAAACTAAAACCACACAGTATATCAACTCCTACATGTTAGGTCACTTTATTCCCACTGCAGAATGTGTCACAACAATTTACTGTCCAAAGTCGCTTGTGGAATAAAAGTAAATGAAAGTGTGACAGAGGGCGGTGAGGATACAGGGAGGAGAGAGGAACCCGCCTGACTCCTCCACAAGGCACACGCTGCATATTTCATCTGCCCAGGCTGCTTTGCTACGAATAAAACAACCATGAATTATTGATACTGGTCTTTCCTATGCATCGCTGCACCTCACTGCAACATCGCTGGACTTTATTCACTCTCACCACGACAAGGGTTTTGCTTTGGCGAGAAGTCTATTGTTAGCGCCGTTGGAGCTGCTTTCGCCATTTCATATCAGGAGAGTTGAGATCTTTACGTTTTCAATACATCTGGGACTCGATAGTGTCTCGTTAGTTATGAATCAACTGGAAAAAGCACAGGGACAGGCCTCCTGATGGGATTTTTGAGGATCACAGGGACAGGCCTCCTAATGGGACTATTAGGATCACAGGGACTGGCCTCCTGCTGGGACTCTAAGAAGCACAGGGACAGGCGTAATGCTGGGACTATGAGGAGCACAGGGACTGGTAGCCTTCTGGGACACTGAGGAGCACAGGGACTGGCCTCCTGATGGGACTATGAGGAGCACAGGGACTGGCCTCCTGATGGGACTATGAGGAGCACAGGGAGTGGCCTCTTACTGGGACTCTGAGGAGGACAGGGACTAGTCACCTTCTGGGACATTGAGGAGCACAGGGACTGGCCTCCTGCTCGGACCCTGAGGAGCACAAGGACTGGCCATCTGCTGGGACTCTGAGGATTATGCAGCTTACGTCTGGAACAGTCTTCCTGAAAATGTGAGGCAGGCTCCTACTCTGACAACGTTCACAACACAGACTGGATTCAAGTCATTCTGAACCTTAAAATGTCTGTGTTAGCCTTGGTTTGGGCTGGTCTTCCCGATGGTGAACGTGTCATGGTAGTGGTGGTCACAGGGAGAAATATATCCAGTACATACGTCGCTATAATAAACAGTTAAGTGGAAGCAATTTTGAACAGGTGGGTTTTAATCAGTATTTCAAAGTTCTGAAGTGAGTCTGGGTTCCTGATGTGTTGTGGGAGTGAGTTCTAGAGAGTGAGGGAAGCTGCAGCGAAGGTTTGGTACCCCAAGGTTCAGAGTTTACTTAAACAAGACTCTAAAGACCCCTTTCTCAAGACTACAGCATGGTCAAAAGCTGTGAAAAGTCCATTATTCCTGCCGTGTCCCTTTTCATCAGTAATACCTTTGTCATTAGATTCTAGTTTCTGATATAATTGCAATAAACAATGTTGCCATACATTTTCCTTCCACTTTGCTTCGCTGCACCGTTGATCAGCTGCCGTTCATGCTTGAGTCTCTCGCTCTCTGCTCCCTCTGCTCCAGCCGTTGGCAACGCATTTGTGTACATACACACAAACAGGGCTTTTTCTCCGCATAATCCTCTGTAACACTCACGGCCCAAAACCCACATATTATTCACTGCTCCACTTACACAAGCACAGAAGATAAAAATAACTTAGATGTCTCAAAGCTACGGCCGGAGTCCCCACAGTATCTTGAATGCATCATAGACAGAGGGACAAGTCAGGGTTGGCCGCTGTCTCTGAAGTTGTGACGAACTGTTCGAATCAGTCACTTTGCTCGAAGATATCGCACATTCCAATAGTGTGACACAAGGCCGTCAGTCAAGAGTCCCCAGAGTTGCTCACAAAGTACCACAGAGCTACAAGAAATCACCTATTACCCACTGCCCTTAAGGGTATCAGAGCCAGAGTGACCTACTATTTCTGGAGAATTCATTCAAACTTGAGCCGAGATCTATGCAGTATCTCGCTGAAGGAAAAAAGTAGGGCTGAATTTTTTCATAGACTTTATAGATGGACAATACTAGCCTATTAGCTCAATGAAGCTCATGGATATTTTACTTCTCTAGCTCAGAAACCGTTTGTGTCACACTCCCCGTTTTGAGCCTTAAAAATCTGTAAATTACCGCTCTCTGTGTTCCTAGTGTTTTTATTTTTTTTATAAATCCAGAGGCCTTCCTTGGTGGGGGAAATCTCTATAGCTTGATAAAGAAACATCTATACATTAATCTGAAATGCACTCTGAAGTAATAAGTCATTAGCTCCCAGGGTTCAAATATTCAGTGAACAAATTACTTTACATGTTAGCAGTATGAGGCTTAATACAGTATATACAGTCTATGGCTCTAACATGTGACTGTGGAAACATATGGTCCCATATTGCATAGTCTGGCACTATTGTACATTATTGCACAGATGCATGATATGTGAGGTCAGGTCTGTAATTTAGCTTGAATTGGTTCTAATGTTTCAAAACATGTGATGCCAATAGAAAATCCCAGTTAGAATGTAGAAATAATACTTGAAACTACTAACGCAAGCTGGCATGACCATAATGGGTAATGAGTTGTTTTACTTCAGAAATCTATGCATCCACTGTTACAATACCACTGCTACTGCTCCGACTTATACTCCTACTCCTTCTACTGCAGCAAAGTCTCACTGATATCATTGCACTGGGAGGTGTCACATTCCTCCAGTTAAAGTATGTGATGCAACGTCTAGTTTCAGTGTGGCTTTTTATAATCTGCCAGTGTGTAAGTGAATCCTTGCGAGCACTCCAGGGCCCAGAGCAGAGGAGGAGAGACGAGCACTGGTCTGAGAGAGTTTTTCAGTTTGTCTGGGTGGATGATATTGATCGTTCGTACAGAGATTCTGCCAAAGAGTCTGAGCCAACAGTGTATTCTACCAGGGCTGAGGGTGGCGGCAGCTAGCATCACAAATATGTATCAAGATCAACAAGCAACGCAGTAATATAGCAACAGAGTGGGTATAAGAAGCTATGAACTTTAAAGTCTGGTGATATCTTGGTGTATGATTTTGTATTTTGCCATAGAAAAATTCTGTCAAAGCAAATTATAGCCAAGATATGCTGTCATTGTCTTATCACATATACTGTTTGTAGATAGACAGTGCAAACCTTCTAACTCAAAAAAGCCCAATAGAGAAGTGTTCATGGACAAAGTTTTGCTCTGGCTTGAATAAAGTTATATTGAAAAAGTAGACTGGTCATCAAAATCTGTGGTTTAGCGCTCTCTATGATACCATAATGATTGACCAATTAGATCCATTAATTTGCGGGGGAAACTCTATCTAGCAACCATCTTAGCAATATGCCTATCCCGGCTAACGCAAATGTCCACATAAGGGAATTGGCTCCAGCGTTATCTCGACTGCACTTTTCCATCTGAAAAAGCTGAAAAAGCAAAGCAAATCTCAAGGCCAAAACTGTGAAAACTGATGATGTAGGGAACATCATCAGGGTCAACAGATGCTTTTGCAGAATTATCATTTTATTATATGGACATGGCTTGGTCTGCAGTCGACTGGCATTAATAATTACATTATAAAAGTAACTATGAAAATCAACAATGCTTCTCAGAAAACTAGATTAATTGCAAACACTGATTCAAATACAGGAAATACTAGTGAAGGGGCTGCAGGATTTGTATCCCCTCAAACTTCAGGTTATTATCCCATTGTAGTTCCATTGTGTTTTAAAGTAGAGGTTGGTCCTATAAGCAATGACTGAACTGAATGACTGAAAAAACCTACTGTATATGACATTATGGGCCACTAAACAGACATGTTGTACCTCAAAATGAAGGCCTAATCAAGTTGTTGACTGAAAAATATTATCCAAGCAATTCAGATCCAGAAAAATGTCCAATATCAGCACATTGGACAATTCCCAAATACACACTCATATATCACACACACAGCTTATATACACATCACCAAATCTGCCGTGTCTTACCTCAACCAGGTGTGGTGTGGGGTTGAATCCGCACAGGTTGCAGACTTGGCTGTGACACTGGGTGCAAGAGTTGTAGTTGGGTGGGTCCGAGCTGCCGATGTTCAGCTCCGTTTTGCACAGCGGGCAGTTGACTTTCGGCTTCTCCGGTTCCGGTGGAGGCGGAGCAGGAGTTTCCTTCACCACCGGGACTGCTACAGGTACCGGCTGCTGCTGTGGAATCGGTTGGGCTTCTTGATGCTTGGCAGGCCCTTTGTCTAGATGGGAAGGTTGTTGGTGAACCTTTTGTTGCATCCCCATTGGCTGCTGCTGCTGCATGCCATGTTGCTGCTGCATGCCATTTTGCTGAAGCATGCCATGTTGCTGCTGCATGCCATTTTGCTGCTGCATGCCATGTTGCTGCTGAGACTGCGGTTGGGTTTGCTTCATGGGACTAGCTTGAGGACCTCCGAATTGTCCTAGCGGTCCTCCCATGTGCCCATGACCCATTGGCGCATGCGGTCCACTCGTTGTCACAGATGGCAGACCTCCCATCCCAAACGGCTTGCCCCCATGCTGCTGCTGCTGTTGTTGCGGCTGCTGTTGCTGCTGTGCTCTATTGTCTGGCCCGGCATTGCTAAACACAACTTTCCCCTTTGCCGGACTGGGCTGCGTAGACTGTGTCGGTAGCGGGTCGACATTTATCAGGGTGCTAGCTTGGTTCAACAGCGACGCACCAAATCCAAACAGCTTTGTAAGTCCGTCCTGTGCTTGCGGAAGAGGCTGCGATTGCGGCCGGTGCGCTGGAGAAGACCCCGCACTCCTGGTGTGGTCCGGCTGACGCGGAATCTGCTGATGCATCGGCGAACCACCACGACCCAAATCTGGCTGCGATGGTGCTTTAGCCAAGCCCGGAAGAGGTACCGCTCCTGGGTGTGGGATCCTAGGCTGGTTGGGACCTCCTTGAGCAGAAGGACCTCGCTGAGCATAAGGATCTGATTTGAAGCCTTGTTGCGGGCCGCTTTGTTGAGGTCCAACGTGGTGAGGTGGTCCTGTGTGAGGCTGAGGATGGCGTTGTTGCAAGCCGGGAGATGGGTGTGCTTGGCTAGGCTGCGGGTAAGCCTGCTGCTGCTGCTGCTGTTGTGGATGGTACTGGTTGGATTGGGGATACTGGGAGTAAGGTTGCTGAGGCTGATGTTGCTGTTGTTGTTGATGTTGTGGTTGTTGTTGATGTTGTGGCTGTTGTGGCTGTTGTTGATGGGTGGGAGTGGGCTTGGGCTGCTGCTGAGGTTGTGCCTGGGGTTTGGGTTGGGCCGGTGGTTGCTGGACTGGGGCCTGTTGTGGCTGGACGATGGGTTTGGCCTGGTGGGACGGGGAGTGGATCTGCTGTTGGCTTTTAGAACGTGGCGTGGTCATATCGATGCCTAGAGCGCGCTGCATCTGACAGTTTAGACACAGCCATTCCTGCACCTACGGAGACAAAGAGGAACATGGAATAGGGCTAATTAGAAAAAGTCAATCAATCAACAAAAAATTATTAATATATCACTTTTCATAAAATGTGATAGAAAGTGTCTCATTAGAAACGATCCCAAATGCCATCTGTCATGTCATGGCTTCCGCCTGCTCATCTGTTTCATCATTGTCTGTTTCATGGTGAAATGATTGGACCCCTGAATCCAGCCTTTTTATCTGTACCTCTCTCCCCATCTGGGAGCCTCTTCAGTCTAAATCTATTGCCTGTCTGTTCATGGGAGCGGATCTCTCTCTCTCTCTAAATAGGCCTTCACACTTTTCTACTCCACTGGGTTGAGTTGTTACTGGCAGATGCAGCAGTGTCTGAGGAGAGTGATGATCCTGGACATTTAAGGACATTTATTTATCTGTGCAGATTGGTCATCCTACTCCATTTCTACCAATGGCTACTTGGTGTTTGTTAACTTTGCAATATTGTCTGAGATGACTTCTGTTTTTTTATTTAGAGCTAGACAAAAATAAATTGAATTGCCAAAATAACCACCAGTTGGTGCAAAAAAAAAAAATCCAGTTTAAATACGTTGATGCAGTGTGAGACCTACTTGTGAACTAGAGTAGATAGTAGATACATGCACATTCCACTCATAAAGGTAAACTATGGGAAAATCTTCAGATTTTTTCCTGCTATAAAGATATCTTGACAGATAGTAGTTGCTTGCATAGAAATTTCATTTTCAGTTTAAACAATAATTAATTACTGTGAAACCATCTCCTTACCAAGCAATATTCTCTCGGGAACAGCTGACTTGCTTTTCCCTGTTCTCTTGGAACTGACCTTAGCCTCATAACGACCATCCTCCTGGCAACAAAAAACTGAATGGCGTTTGTCCAAACCGTGGCTTCCAATTCATTTGCTCTAATGCAACCGTGACAGTGCGATTTTCAAGTCCACTCCTTTGTGTTCCAATTACCCAGTAAACTCATTCTAACAGACAAAATGGATCATACATATTTATTATAAGAAATACTAAAAACAATCTGAGTTGAACCGTAAAGTACAACTAAAGATCAACCATTTACAAGTATAATAATGAAATAAATCCTAGCCCAGCTAAGCCTAGCCGACTGAATGCGAAGCGTGATCATAATTTTAGCAGATCCTAATAAGAAAAAAACAACTCACTTAGTCAAAATTGAGATTTCGGCTTGCCTCAACTTAAAGAAACACCCTTTGAACTGCAATATAATTACTGTATATTGAACATTACTGGTCTATCTCCCACATTATGAGAAACACTTCGACCGGCATCACATTACATTGAACATTTGGGATGCTTTGAGACCAACCGCCATCTTTTACACATACAACACATGGATTTTAGTAAGTAATTTCTTGGTTTGGGCTCGAACTGGTCCAATCCTGCTCTATTTACTGCTATTGATTGCCTTTTAAATCGCGGCTGCTGCTGACTAAGACCAACGAGTCGACTCTTCTTATCTCATTGCTAGCATATGTCCCACTGTAGCCTTCCCCTCATCCCACATCAAAGCCATAAATCTGGGCCATGCATCCAGACGGCTACTCTGCCGCTAACATACGTGCCGAGCTGTACCGCATGCAGAGAGAGAAAGTATGAATTGTAATGAATGGAAGTGAAATGTAGTAGTAAAATGACATGTGAATGGTTTGACAAAGCTTGAGATGAATCCGAGTGATGTTGTACCCACTTTTGTTGATTCTCTCCCAAATCCTCCATCGGAAAACACCTCTCACGTTAGCATCGTACCCAAGGGCTACTACAAATAACCGCATTTAGCTCGGCGATCGGAGCTTGTAAATCTGAGCATGCTTCTCCCCTCCGTCCCCCTTTAAACTCCCCAGAATGCATTGCAGTACAGTAGAGCTAGGCAGCCGCGGCACATCCTCCTTCCTCCCTCTCTGGATCCGACGGAAGCCCTAATTTTCCCTTCCATCACCGAGCAAAAGATGTGCCAGTTTGCGCGTCTTGCAGCTGCCTGGATGCTTGTGTGCCACGTTTGGGATTATTCGCATAAATCTGTCAACTCAGTGGCAGCGGAGGCAAGACATCCTTTGCATTTTAAATGTTGGAAGCTTTTAGAGAGTCTGCCTAAACGCACTTGTCATCGTTGGGTTTAATAATAGCGGAAATGGTTGGATGGAGTTGAATGGAGCTAAAATGCAACAGTGAGTAATACACTAGTAATTTGCATAACGCCTTGGTCTAGAAAGTTTTTGGTTCAAGTCTTTCCAAGATACAAAAGATACAATTATATGAAAATGTGAGGAATTGGAAACATAAACATGGGGACTAAACATGGTGAGGCAGTGCTTCTGATCCATGCAGATAATATCTGAAAATTACAGTTCTATTTTCCCTGTGAATACAAACGTAGGACTGTATCCTTAATTTGTAATGTGTTTTTTATTATGTTAATCCCTTCTATGATATTAATGTTCGTTTTTTATGCCCTGTTTTTAATGTTTATGATTTATGCCTAATGTGAAAGAGGCAGTGAAGCATGTTGTTCCTTCACAATGTCTAACACATGGCAAAGCGCTCTACAAATAAGGGTAAATTGATTGATTAAGTAAAATTGGGAGAAAAATTGTTGTGAACTATCCATCCATTCTCTTCCGCCTCATCCATTGCTGGGTCACAGGTGTCGAGGCTTTTGTTAGGAAATACCAATGTTGTATTCCATCCCATCTCAAACATTTCACTTTTTGTAAATATAAATGTATAGTTTTAGGAAATCAATAGAGAATACTATTACAGAACAAAATGACCAGATTTTGTGTGAGTAAATAATGCAGCGTTTGAATCTCCAGCTATTCCAAACATCTGGCTAATGGCACATCTGGCACAGAATCTGTTCTGGGTTCATTAATATAAAGCACTTGGCTGCACTGGTGAGTGCAGACGATCATGAGACGATCTATCGGTAAATTGAATGAATGGTTTGAGAGGTGAGAGGAACAGAGCGTACAGCAGCTGGGGAGGCACAGAGGCTTTGACTTAATGCATAGATAATTTTAAATACAATTGAACATAGTGCAGATAGAGAGACATCGTTTAGTTGCCATTTTAAATAAATAAGTAGTAGTAAAAGCAGGCTGCAGTTTCACAAACAATGCTTAAAACAAATCAAATTAATGAATAAATAAATGTATTTTCTGTCTGTTATTGACAAAAAAAACACATCCTACTTTTATTTTTTACCGAAAGGATAAAAAATATGCACATTTATTATGACCAACTACATATTTGCTTCTGTGTTTCTCATTACACAACATTGAAAGTTTATTTGTTTTTAAATGATTGAGCAAAGAGAATACAGCTACATTGGTGCTGCTCACATCACGTAGATCCAGTGTCTCAGAATTTCCAAGATCATATGAAAGTGGGTTGAGTCCTTTCTACAGTCTATGTTTTGAACCAAGTGTAAAACTGTATGAGTACATGTTTAAGTATGAGTACTGTGTGACATTTCCAGGTATGATTTGTAAAGTTGCATAAGCAGTTCTTACAAAAATCCCACAACATTCTACACAACGAACGTCTGAGCCGCCTTCTCGGAATAATTCTAGCCTAATCAAACCCTGGGAGGATGTGAATATGAGATGATTTGAATGATTTCTGCTTGTTGCCTTTGAACTATAACAGGAACCGCAGTAACCGCCTCTGATTTTGCTTTGCCACATCAAGTCAGCGCTTTTTAAATCCATCCTCGCCTCTCCTCTGTGCGTCGAGGCTAATCGCACACGCTTTGAAAGAGCATCTTCAGTCGACGTGTTGAGAATGTATTGGAAATGCGCGGTCTATAAATGAAGCAGTAAAATGGTCTAATTATATTCTGGAGAAATGTCTATAAAATAGTGCTGGACACATTCTTTCAAAGCAAGAATATTTCAATCATTTTCCAACTTTTTCTGATTGTAAATATAAATCTTAAGTTAAGACTTTTATGTGTGGTTGCCAAGCTATAAACACACATGCCTCCTATCTAATGATAAGTAGTTATTTATACGTTTGGAAGTTTCATGTTTTTGCTGTAGTTTTAGAAAAGGAGAACCCACAGACATTATTATTTAGGGACCCAACCATTCACTGTATACAGATGGACAATGCTCAAGTTTTGCTCTCGCTCTGGCTCCTATTGACTTGTTAACTGCTTGTGCCACACTGACCAATTTGGGTTTAAAAATCTATGGTTTGGTATTTTCGATCATGGTGTTTATATACTGTACTGATATTGTCTTTGTAAATCCAGATTTGAACCCTAACAACTGACCAATCAGGAGCCTTCTGTGGCTGAATTCAGTTTTAGCTAGCAAGTAATTACTCAGGCGTAGCGACAGACTACTTTCCATACATTATACTCCACATTCCTGCCGGTTTGTGCTCTATGCAGCCATCTATCTAAAACTCAAATGTTTCAGTTGATAGAGCTGTGATGAGTATATCCAACCACAAGGTAATACCCTCAATTACTCAGTCAATCAAAAATGTATTTCTATAGAAAAGTTAATAACAAAACGCAATCCAAAGAGCAACAGTCAAAAAATTAAAACACACTGTAAAACACATGCAAAACGGCCACTAAGAGCAAAGATGAGCAAAGAACTGTTATGGTAGCAATTTGTCTAACTCCTTCAAGAAGATTGTTCCATATTTTTGGTGCATAGGTCTAGAATGCTGCTGCCCCATTTCTATCCCTGACCCCAGACACCAGCAGGAGGCCAGTCCCTGTGCTCTTCGGTGTCTGAGTGGGTTCCTATGGCACTAACATGTCACAGATGTACTTTGGTGCGAGGCCAAGGAGAGGCTTGGTTTCAAGTCTAAAGTCTGAGCCACAGGAAGCTAGCAGAGACCTGAGAACTGGACTTGTGTGATCGTACTCACTGGTTCCAGTCAGGACTCGACCTGCAGCATTTTGAATGTACTGAAGCCGTTTCATAGCTCAAAAAAAAA